TCACCAACTCTCACCCACTACTAAACAGGTCCTATTTCTCACCCATTTCATCAATTACACCCTGCTTTTTGTACTTGGATTATCATCACAGGCCTTAGCAAGATCTCAGGAAGTCCTTGGATGGTCGGATTTCAAGAAAAAAAATTGGGGTTTTTTGGTGGGATAGATGCTATGTAAAACGTTTTTATGACAAATTTAATTAGCTTAACGACTTTGTCTCTTGTCAATGAATAAAAAGAAAAGAGCTATCTAACACAGCATTACGGGCTCATCTTTAGAGCTTACAGCTACTGTTTTTGTTAGAGCTGCATAATGTTTGCTTACTCTATGGAAAGTCTCCCACAACATCACAACAATACTGAAAACGATGACTTCTAAATATCTATCAAATGAGCACGGCTTTCGTAATGCAAAGCCGTCCAATAGGCATAGTAAAGAAAAAGGAGTATCAATGAAAAGATCAGTAGTATAAACTTGGCTTAAAGATATAGAGGGATACGACGATCGAGAATAGAAACATAAAGGTTTGATGAGAGAACGATAAAAGGCTGATTGATTGAGAGGGAATCTGAAATTGTTGATAAGAAAGACATAAAGGATTAGTGATGTTATTATGATAAACCTTTCTTCTTATTCATAATCATACTAATCTCTTCACTCTTTCTTCTTGCTTGGCATATTCTTTCTTTCCTCTCTCATCAATGTTACTTCTTACCGTACTCTTTCAAAACTATGCCTTTTACCAAGTTCTCCACTGAATTCAAAGCAAGAATTACAATCCAACGGCATATTGTGACGAGGGCGAAGGGATGGAGGTAAGAAAAGGTAGGATTTGAGAAGAGTGGAATGGGAGGAAGAGGTGTTTCGTTTACAGGATGGTGTTGATAGAATTGCAGACTCCTACGCCGACAAAAGACTCTGTAGGCAGTTCAGAAATGTCTGTTTGGATTCAAATTAAGATGATATAGGCATGCAAATGCACTCTATTCAACTATAGCATCCAAACACAAGATCAACTATGAAGCAACGGCTAGGCGATCGCCTTTGTAAAGCAGCCACAATCCCGTGACCAAGCGGACACCTCTTCAACCACTATGCCACGACCGTATGAAGAAGAAACCGCCGGATCCCATCCGATCTCCGCAGTTAAACTTCTTACAGCTCCGTCAGTACTACCACTTGTTGCGGCAAAAACCTGCTGATCATATTGTTTCCAAGTATACCAAAACGAGTATCGGTCCGATTACCATCGAAATTATCTTACACGTCTCAGAGAAAAATGCGCAAGCAGAACTTGATCAAGTTTATTTCAACGCCAAGCCATACTGAGGAGACAGCTTCTCAATGGACATCAATGCACAAACCATTTTGGAAAAATCCAAATATACCTATTCGTACCCATCTCTTTTTTTTTTTGCCATGTCCTATCCTGCTACAACTTTATTCAAATATGTCTCAAATGATTCAAATATCATTTGTTATCACAATCTCTTCTGATGGTCTATAAGGTTATGCTACCAGAATAAACAGACACCAAATTAGATTCGCCAAAAAGCCAAATGTAGCAACATACGTTGCAGGAGTGCATTGGAACTTTACTTAGATACAACGTGAAAGCGATAAGCTCCTTCAAAGCTGGTAAGATTTCATGCTCACAACATGTATAAATTATTTTGGTCAGTTATTTTTGCATTCATTATCCTATGCAGCTTCTAAATGGGATGGGTACATACGAACACTTTTAGGATGATTGTGGGGTTTGTCCCTCAGGTTACAGTGTTGGTTACCCTTAATAAAAATGAAAAAATACTGAAACTTCGAAAGTTACTATTGTGATTGGTTTGGAAAGGAAAGTAGTAAAAACAGTGAGCTACGTGCATTTGACCTTAAGAAAGATTGTACGATTAGTACTTGCACGGAAAGCCAAACAATAGCGAAAGAACAGGCTAAAATTTAAAGGTGACAAGTTAAAGAAATTCGAACAATGATATAACTTGCTTCATGAAGAAATGAAGAAACTGCGTTCAGCAAGACACTCTCCAGCAATCAAATCTGTATCATCCATCAGCTTTGACGTCGACTGGTCCTGGTTGCTACTCCAAAAGTCACAACGTTCGTTTCGGCACCTGTGTTTCTCCTTTGGCATTCACAATTGTATAGTCTCACCAGTATGATTATATGCACTTAAAAAAGCCGACTCGTTTGAAAGACAGTAACATATTGCGTTTAATTGAAGAGTACAAGACCGTTTTGATATAGATGCCTTGCTGCTTACCAAGTGGGTATAATCAGAAAACTGGCACCCACCCAAGGTTAATTTGGCCAGATTTATAGGAAAATAATGTGTGAATTCTCAATATGTGACGTTTCTAGCATTGATGATCTAGAAAAAACCTTTTCGCAAACCATTTTTTTGCAAGCCTGAATAACAAAAGGTATGTGCAGTGGTATAACTGTGACTGACTAGATATAAGAAGGCGGTTGTATCTCTGTTACTTCAGTGGACGGTATGAGTGGAGGATCGATCACTCAATTCCACTGATTACCATTTTCTACTTGTTGCACAGGTCAAAGTTAGCTCTGCCCTCTCACTAAATTTTGATGGAACGCAAATAATGGACATATCCTTCATCGGCGCTCCCATCAGCAAACTTCAGAATGAAGTCAAACCAACTTCTGTCACTCTAAAGTGACCCTAGCACATACTGCCTTCTTTGTGGAATGCATCTTATCTGTAGTACCATTTTCTCGTACCAAATCATAATTCTTAAAGTACTCTATTTTTTCTTATAAGATACCTTATGTATGGGAACACCAAAAGATAGTAGGGCTGATTTGCAATACCTAGTAACTGAGGGCTTTCAAGCTTTCAGGCGAAAGAGGTGTAATGTCAACTCCAAATATTGGGAGAAATATTTGGGGGTCTGATTATAACCAAAATTTTTGTATGGTTTGGTTTGGATATAACCAAATATGTTTCGTTTCGTTTGGTTTGCTATAGTATTATGCGCTTAAATTCAAAAGAATGCTATGTTGCTACATGTCTTCATGTAGTAATCTTTTCATTGACAACAAAGCTTCTTCAGCAACATGTTTTAGATCGGCAATGTCATTACCTTTTAATCCTAACGTCCCTCTTGAACATCGTACACTTTGCTCCTTCAGAACACCATCGTGAAATCGGCACCTTCCTCTCCTCGCGCCACAGTCGCGGCTGGTCAGCATACATTCGCCTTACAGTCTTCAAGACGTTCTATCGGTCTACTTATGAATATGGCTTTCCTCTCCTCTTTGGCTTAACTCCTTCACCCAACCCCGTAAACTCATTAAACCCATCGTTTCGATACAAAACATTATGCTCCAATGGATTGCCATGGTCACCGAGGCCATGAGCTGAACCACTGCATTGCCGGCGTCTCCCCCCCCCGTACCCACCGCTTACAGGAACTCGCGATGTCTGCTGCTAATTGAAAACTACATTAAGTTCACTGTAAGTGATACCACCTTGACAGAAAATGACTTCACGTCAACTAAAATTGACAATCTTAACAGAAGCAAGTTCGCATGCTTGTTTCAATTTTGCACGCACGAGTCTATTGACAAAGTCACATTTGTAAACCATCTTATACGAACGCATTGTAAGTGAAAACCTTATTATATACTGTTCGAGCTTGTAGTTAACGGATCTCAGACGCAAACTTACCACTCAAATCAGACTCCCCTCATAATGATGAAAATCGCTGAATTTTCTGTGGAGCATCTTGCTATTTCTTATCACGGCAAGAGCGATTAAAGCCGCAGTTTCAAAGTTCATGGTTAGCACTTTACGCATCTTTTTGCCGTTTGTATTGGTATCCAACAGTTCTAACTCCAAATTCATAATCTTAGCTATTGAAATAAACCAGCCTAGGCTTCAACACATCTCTTCCGCGGAAAAAATTGACTCCGTATTGGCTGAAAAGCTAAACTTAACCTCATGGCTAATGCAAGTGCCGCTTATGCCATGTACTGATATTGAGGCGGTTTCAAAGTACGGTCAAGCATTAAGCGTCGACATATGGTTCAATGACCTATTGAACGTACTAATCCAGTCGCAACGTCATTGGATGTACCAAAGGATACCAGAACGTATGCAAGACATCTTCGAGATTACAACAACTTAAGAAAAATTGTAACGGAACAGTAATGGCTGAAAGCTCAACAAGGAACAGCAGAAATAGGTGATGATGATTCGCAGGCTTCTACACCTCCAAAAACAGATTCTTTAGTTGTCAACAGCAAAAGAAAGTATCATGAAAAACGAAACTCCGGAAAGCATCAAGCGCCATATCACCGATATCAAGGCTACTTTGAAATTAAAGAAAATAGAAAGAGGTATGACACTTTAGAAGGAAATATACGTGATAGAGAGACTCAATTCATGTTATTTTAGGTACTGCGAAACAGAGAAACTCTGAATCCATTTCGCAGATCCCGCCTGCCTTGAACAAGCTCTTGAGTCAGGATATACGGTACTGCGATATACCTGTTGCTTTCGAAGAACGCCATATAAATGGCTCCATAGGTATTTCGCCTACAGAAGATCAAATCGATGCGCTAGTAACAAAGTATAGCAGCAAATTTGTATTAGCAATAATTCAAAGTACAAGTTCCTGGGATTTGATTACCAATCTTGATGCGTTTTACCAACAAGACTCTTCAGTGGACGATTGCGCATTACCTCCTAACACCGACATGGACATAAATGCAAAAGCCATATTATTACAAGAAACTGAAGAACTACATAACTTCAAAGAACTCATCATTCAATGCGGACCGATACAATTATCAGCTATTGTTGGCTATTATGGACAGACTGGTAGCAATACTAAAACGGCATTCCTCGGATCAGCTCTTCCCAACGTTGTCGTTGAGCATAGAGGGAACATATACCATTTTGATACCGTTTTTTCATGCTAAGTAAGGAGGTTTATGCTTTATCTACTTGGCATACAGTGAAGCTTACAGTGATCGTAATATAGGCACACACGAACTATTAGACATCTGCGTAACGATACAAAAGCAAATGCAGATCGATTATGGTCTTTTGGTAGCCAAGGTTCCAACGGCAGGATTTCATACCATGTCATCCACTTTTTTACGATAATCATCCAAAAAGAGTCCATCGTAAGGGAAATGCCACCAGGGTTGCCTCCTTACTATTGCATTGTATAGCCGTTTGCAAATTCTCCAGGCAAGACCACACAAAATTTATAAAGGTGATTGCGAAGATACCCGAAGTTAATATAATACTATGAAAATGGAGTACAGTTCCACAAAGTTTGGCAGAGCTCAAGCAAGCGGGTACAAATGTCCATCTTCGGGTAGCAACCGGACTCCTTTGGGACCTCGCAATTTCACTGGATCGTGTTTCGTGTGTAATCAACCTGGCCACAAGTCGTTCGAGTGTCCTAACCGCACTGAACAGGGAAAAGACCAGGAGCAGATAATGCAAAATTGGCTCTTCTGTTACTTTTGGACTTTGCTGTCAGGTTTGAACAAGAACTTGCTGACAAGGAGGAAATGGAGCTCATATTCATGTCCAAAGAGTTGTCAGAAAAGGCACTCACGCTATACAAGACATATCTTGCTCATTCCGTTAAGGATGCGAACGAAAATGTGATCAAGTCCTTGATTTTCTGTCGAAATAAAATTCTCTAGAAAATTCGTAAAATCCATCGGACTTCCGAACATGAGCCTAGAGATTTCTCACCCTCCCTCCCTCCTCAATACTCAGGCTCAAGCTATGATTAAAGGAACTACTTCACTATCGTAGACCATTAATACCTTACCAAAACCTTTATTATTGTTATTATCTGGAACCTTCGTGAAATAAAGAGAAAAGGTTACAGCATCTCTAGGCTCATGTCCGTTCAGTCCTCCGGACTGAACTAGTAACTATAGGTGTCATAGAGTAACTTTCCGAACTGTCTCATCACCAATAAACTCTTGACCAATACTTCAATTACTGGCATATTCCGTGACCGACAGTGGAAATTTGATGAGCGATGGAGACAAGTTCAGTGAACGAGTTTAGGTACCCCAGTGTGTCCTGAGTTTGCATTTGTAACAAGGTCTATGTCTATGTCTATGTCTATGTCTATGTCTATGTCTATGTCTATGTCTATGTCTATGTCTATGTCTACAGGATATTTTCGCAAAGAGAATCTCATGATTATTGTTATGTATTATCTATGCTATCTATCACCTGTCAGAGTGTGGCATCTTCAAACGTCAATTCTCCACACACATGTCGGCAGAACCAGATATATAGTAACCTAAGTTTTTCCTGTTGAAATGGAACTTCAGTCATAAAAGATAAAATCTTGCAATTTAGGACTGCAGAAGTCGGTAAAATCATGTGGTTTTACTGTGAAGCCTGAGTTTCACAACATAAGTTTATGAGTAACAAAAGTAGGTTGTGTACAACTGATAATCAATATCAACACCTACTCTTACTCGCACAAGTGTAAACAGCTGATGAAACCAGTTTTGCAAATCGAAAATATAGCTCTGTTCTGCTTCTCTTTCGAACACTCTCATTGCCTTGCCAATTTTATTTCACCAATGTTCACTCGCAATCTTGCTTCATACCTTGAATACCAGAAATTGTCGCAACGTATGCAAGATAAATCAACACTATTGGGATGCGCAAAAGTTGAACGAAAAATTCAATTTCATGCCAATCGAGCAATGATATTGCTCGATGACTATTCAGACCAACAAGACGTTATTGACGCTATTACAGATTTCATAGATAACCTGTTTCATGTGTTGTTTGTCACTGATGTTGGATTATCAGGACAAGGTAGCCCTATCTCTATAAGCAAAACCGCTACCAGATATAGCACATGCGACCTGTTCGTGAGCAAAGCAAATGATAGTATAAATTCCGTCCTTCACCAAATTGCCAATTGTTTTACCATTGGCAAGAGCAGATTCACAGACTGTTTTGGCCAATACGTCAGCATACTTAACGATATCATGGATAGCTATGATGGTGATGCGGACATATGGCTCGCTGTGGCAGATACAACGTATTCAATAGCAGCAGCGAGATATGTTGGATGGCGTAGTAGCTTCGTGCAACATTATTTGACTTGCGCTGCAAGAGGGGGGATTCGGCCAGATACCCTATACACATCTCACGATGAGGAATTTTACGATGAAGAACAAATGACAAGTATTCTAAATGTGCTTAGTTTGATATATCTAGTAGATGAAGAGTCCAGTGTAAAGGCTAGGAGTGCTTGGCTATTAGCTAGCATAATGGTGAGAGGAGCTTTGGCGCAGGACAGTATCATTGGTGAAACATTGGTCAAGAAATATAGCCTCTTACTGGAAATGCTCTCGGCGGACTTACTGTACGAAAGATCGCAAAGGTTTAATTACAGCAGTCAAGAACTAGATATTCAGCAAGTCATTCGTGACTTATTAGCAGCCAAAGGCAATAACCAGATTAATGAATGTTTTGTATTCAAGTATAATGCTAAATGTTCTAGCGAGGATACTTGCAAGGACATAGAATACCACTACGGTAATAGTTCAAGAAGCATTGCAGTTGCACAGGCTGCACTTGTTGCTGTTGCTGTTCTCTCTGGGACAATCGAATCTACAATTGACAGCAATCATTTGAAACTTTTTGACTATGCAATGTGTACCAGCAGGTTGACATCAATAGTAGGAACTTCCCTGTACCTGAAGAACACAACAGCTCATCAGAGTTGCATATTTGCAGACATCCACGATAAACACAACCGTGTCACAGTAATTTACTCAGAAACAATCAGTTATTTCGTAAGCTGTGCAAACATTCAAGATATGAGCAGTGGAAGGTTACCCCTGGATATCATCATTGATAATGGAATATACGAGCAAACTACAGCAATATCGGTTGTGATGCTAGTTATTGGCAGCACGATTCTACTTGGCTCGATTATATTGATAAGTTTGAGTCAAGCGAAGCTTATTGAGCTGACTTTTGACCCGACAAGCTTTGCAGCATGGTTATCTGTCTTATATGCTGCGTTAGTGGTTTTGATACAGAATACATGGATTGAAGATTGGACATGGTATGACATGCTAAGAAACAGAAGATTGATTAAAACTGTGAGCTCAACAACTAAAGCTAACTTGGGGGTCAACACATTTCTGAAATACCTTCAAATTCGCATCTCTTCTTGTGATGAGACAATAAGGGAGGTATTGAGTCCCGAGCATACAAGCGCGTCCACATATTACGCAAATGGAAGAACAGCCATTTCATCGGGACCGACAGCCAATATGATACTTTTGGCCGGGCGGCCGGTTTGTTACTGTTTCAAAGATCAAACTACATACATTCCGTTCAGGCCCTCGACATTGGCTCGTAGTAGACACCAAATTACTACTACATGGACACTTTTGCACGATCATGAAACTAGTTTTGATGCTTCAGAAAGACAAATATGCATTGTTAGCAAAAAATTGAAGCCAGGCTACGGAGTGGCCATTGTGAACGGTACCCTGCCGCAATTCTTATCTTCATGAACTTCATTGGCCTTGTAATCTTATACACATGCAAATAATACAGCTACCCGAAAAAAATACTACTGTAATTCTGGTGTCGCATAAATAAAGTTTAACAAGGATGGAGGATGTAAATAATCATATATGTAGCTTAATGACTGACTTGTAGTAGCCAAGCGTTCATAGAGACGTTGCTTTTCGATTCTTCGATGTCGGCTCTTCCTATCATACCGAAGCAGAATTCGGTAAGCGTTGGATTGTTCACCCACTAATAGGGAACGTGAGCTGGGTTTAGACCGTCGTGAGACAGGTTAGTTTTACCCTACTGATGAAGTTGTTATCGCAACAGTAATTGAAGTTAGTACGAGAGGAACCCTTCATTCACATAATTGGTATTTGCGGTTGTCTGAGAAGACAATGCCGCGAAGCTACCATGTGCTGGATTATAGCTGAACGCCATAAGTTAGTATCTATGCTGGAAGCGATGGTCTGATTTTCTGCAAGTTTAGTTGAATACCAATAGACCTTGTATCCTGAATCATGTTTCATTAGGTCAGGATAGTAAGCGGAAAGGCTTGCTGATCTCCTGGCGCATGATAATTTCAAATATTGGAAATGTAAAATCCTTTGCAGACGACTTGAATATACAACGGAGTATTGTAAGCGACAGAGTACCCTTGTTGTTACAATCCGCTGAGATCAAACTCTTGTTGGACAGATTTGTACTGTTATGAAGACACCTCTTATTATTTTAATATTCATTTTTTCCTAACTATATATGTATGACAATGAAACTTCGAAGATTTATGTATAGCAATACAAAACGATCTACGGTAGGGCTATATCAACTTCATCACTCGGTCCTCTAACGTAATGCTTGTTGGTGACTTCGAACTGATATACTGAGAAAAAGTGCATTCTGAAATCTATCACAGTGTATCCATCGTTCGTGTGATATCATCCGATCATTTCCCGAAATCATTCCCAGGGTAATCATCTAGATCTAGACCACCTTCAGGGTTTTGGGATTTCCAGCTCGCCATTCTCCACATCACACCGCCAACAACTAGGCCGGGATGCAAGACGGTGAGAAGAGTACAAGCAAGTATCATCATGCAGCCTTCGAGTACCATGAATGTGATCTCTTCGTTGGCAAGCGGACCACCGAAACCGCCCGAAAGCTCGGCACAGCGGAATACAGACCGGACGAAAATGAATACGCTAGCAGCAAAGATGGCGAAGATGAAGAAGCGGAAGCGTGGGCGTAGGCGTATCTCAGCAAAAGCTGGGTTGAACAAAACCACGTCAGGTTTTTTTGATGGTTCTGCGAGAGTCAGATACGCAGAGGTCTGCGAATGATTTACAGCGTACAAAGAGCGTTTTGCTGCTCGCACCCGTAAAAAGAAGTCGAAACTTAGCAATGCGAAGATCGCGAGGGAAAATACCTGCCAGGCCACACCGGCGACCATGATGTTGATACCGATATGCTGGCTGGATGAGCCGGGGGTGGAGATGGAGGCCATTGCACCTCCAGCAGCCTGCAAGAGGAGAGCTACTACGTCGGAACTGATGAATACGTATGTGTATGTACGTGGCTTAAATCGCGCATTCGACTCGGAGTAGATGATGATAAGATGGGAGAATGTCAGGTAAATGGCGGCCGAGAGAAACGCAGGGCCGATGGTAAGACAAACGAGGTACCTGTAGGAAGACATAAAAAATGCCATCTGTGAGCGTGAAAACATAAATTTTGATTTGCATGAAGAGGAAGTAGCTTGACACTTACATGATGAAAAATGTCTGTGTAAACATATTGAACCTCATGCCAATTCTGGCTCCGTATCCCAATATCTCCAGTACCAGGCCGCCAACTATGGCAATAAGGAACTTCCAAGTGCGATGGGATATCCCGATGACAATTTGGGCTATCAGAAGCGTTCCGAATATTCCTGCAAATAGCGCATTGCCTGCCAAAGTCGGGAAGTAGGATGTATTGGCGAGGATAACCCCATCGAGGACAATGGGACAAATGCAAGGGGTGCATTGCGTCAGGTCACTAAGAAGAGTCTGGTTGAAAGTGGCCAGCGTGTAGTTGCTGAAGTCTGGAATGGTATCGCACATGTTGCTGGCTGCTTGAAAAGAGATTTTTCTTGACATCTTTATACACTTCATTGTGACTCCGAATTTGCTATTCTTATCTTCTTAAACCTCAGTATGTTTTCCGGGTAATAACATTGTTACCAGGTGAATTTTCCTTTGTCGCGCCAACATAGGATGAGCTCGAGATGATATAGCGAGTGTGCTTATGAAGGTTTTTTTTTTCCATCGTTTCCTGCTTAAACTTCTCTACATAACTCTCTAAAAAAATCCACGTATGTTATCTAAAAAGACGATTACTACAATTGCCGTTTTCCCGAATATGAGGCTGTTAATCATTCATGTACAGCTTTGCTATGGTATTGCTTGGCAGGTCGGCAGCGCAACGCTTCAACATCAAACCATACTAAAAATAGTCATTCCACAATGGCAGCATAACGCAAGAATACTTATTGCGTGCTGTATGTTCTTTTCCGCTATGAATATCATCATCCATTTTGTCTATGAAGAATGGCAAGTAATGGAGAAGAAATTGTAGTTCACCGATATCGCAATGTTTCCCGATCGTTGCCAAGCTGAACTCCGCATAGCCAAGATTTGGTAATATTGCAATATCGGTGATCTGCATCAGGCGATGAAGTAAATCGTATCCTTAAGACCATAGATATATTGCTATAACCCTTAGAGTTATGCACAACAGCGAATCAGCTAGATAGTTTAAACCATGGGGAGCTTATTTATCGTTTTTTTCGCTAAGTCGCTGTCACAGATCAAATTTTTTTGGGCAGAATGCACACCAAAGGTGAGGGTTCGTTGATGGTCCCATTGAGTATCTGATTAGGAATCGGCGTATTGTCGCATCTCCAGGCGAAAACGGCGTTATTCGTCGAAGGCTAATAGGCTGATTGGACTCATAGTATATATATTTTTTTTTATGTGAAAAAGTCTATGCCTTGGCGTACATACAATATGGCGCGGACCATTCCCACATGCTCCATATTGTTAGAATCATCTATTAATCTGCTGCGGATATCTTCATCACGTAACAGCCACCTGACATTGAAGCTAAGTTGTCTGAGCACGAGGCGGAAGTCACGTCCGACGGCATGGCCATGGACACTCTGCCTTCTGAAGGCCCTGATCAAGGCAGATAATAAGCTCAAATGGAAGACTGACGTACTAATCCTCCTTCTATAACAGGATTCTATTTTTTCCAAAGCATGGTAAGCTCAAAACCCCCCGCCCTTCTCCATTTTACGTTTTCAATCCAAATTTTTGTTTCTTTATGATGAACTAAGTGTTGATTTCAATTTTAATTCTCTGTCCTTAGGGCGGTGTGGACGAGGGGTTTGCCGCAATCGGCGGCATGATGAGAAACCACAGCTTATTCCTCAGCAATTCTCTAGCGTCATTAATTTATTCTATGTTGGGTACATCATTGCGCAATTGCCAGGTACTCTCTTCCTCAGAGTAATTTTGCGCAGCATGACAGCTTAAAATAGCCTGCATGTTGTGGGGAGTCGTCACAATTCTTCAGGTTCTCTTTCACATCTACCCTACCCTGATGAGGTTGAGGTTCTTGATACAATTCTGCGAAGGATTTGGACAGTGAGCCATCTTCTGATAGTCACTAATTCTACAAACGTAATCGTACTAATCTGTCTTTGAGTTACACACCACATTTGTTGAGGTACTGATTACTTTATCGTCGCAGACCAATTATCCTGGTATACGTACCCGGAGCTCGCAACTCGCGGCGATATATTTTTGGGGATCGACCTCTCTTGCTAGTGCTTTCAATGGCCTCATCTCATACGGCATCCAGATCGACTTGAATAGCACAAATTGCTGGCTTGCGTAGAGATATATTTTCTGCATCCAAGGAGTCATGCCGATAGTCTTTGGCTTTCTTCTTTTCGTCTTGCTACCGTCTAACCCTGGAGTCAGCCTGATATGGCTTTACGCAAGCTGACAATGATTTAGCCGTCAGGAGGAGTCGCCGAGCGCATAATCCAGAGGTCGCCAAAATTCGTCTTCAAGAAATTCTTGTGACATAAATGAATCTCGTCTTCTGATTTTTTGCCTTGATCTTTTCTGCGTAACACCATATCAATGCGCCAATGACCAATTTGATATCGAATATCGTCCAGTAAAGCACTTTTTCATCTGCGTTGGTTCAATTTGGTGTGTCTAACTTTAAGATATAGGATGGAGTATTTATTGCGAAAGCCAACTCACAGCTAATGTCCGCGGTCGTATTTGGCTGTGCTTTTGACGGAGGTTCGATCTTTTCTCGTAATGCCGATAACACAGCCGGGCAATGACCCTGCTCGCAGCTCTGGTCGTCCAAGTCGTTGGGTATATAATGCCACTACCATCGAGCAGCCCAAATGTTCGCTTTACAGTAGTATAAATTATTGCCTTTGGTAATTATTAAGAGCGGTGCTAATTGTCATATGGATGGAAATGCGTGTCGTAAGGATACACGAAACGTTGAGCTTAAGGGAGTAATTTTTACATCGAAGCGCTAACCCAAAGAGTACGACCCGCTGAGATCAATCTCTTTGTTGGATGGGAATGCTCTCTTGGGAGAACATCACATCCTATACTCTGTATACTCACTTTCTTCCTAGCCAGAGTAATCCGACAATGATTATTAAAGGACTGGACAATAAAAAAAACGGGAGAAGGTAAAGTGTAAGAGTAGTGATTTATATAGTCTATATTAAATAAGAAATTTGAAAGCTGTTAATGAAGAACCAATATGCTAAAGACGTAGTGTCTCAGGCGAAAGGTTGTCAATTCCCACTTAAGCAGCATTTGATCATTTTTTTCAACAACCTCGTATAGGCAGTGGTCTCTTAGGTATTAGTGAAGACATTGTTGCATGTGGTTTATGTGTATAGCGATGAGTAATGCCAGTGTCTGAAAAGACACTTTATTTAGCGGTAGAGTAGCCCATACCGGAGGTTTTCTGATTTTGGGCCAGCGATATAACCAGCTTACAGCACGCAAATGATACAGTAACCTACATTGAATGGATGGTAAAATTGGTGAATCAGTAGCGGAGAAGAACGATAGAACAATGTGTGACGAGGGCCGTCACTCGCGTTTTTTGTTTCAGTATGGGGTGAATCTCCGCCATTGCGGTTAAATTAATGTATCGGCTTTTCTTTGAACCAAAATCTTTCTATGATATGCGTCGTCTCGATAATTCACCAAATATGCATGAAATTACTGTCAATGCCAGCAATTATGACATACAACTCTGAATCCCAATTCTCGAATCGTCCGCCGTCCGTCTCGTTCCTGAATCCGTCTGTGACTTGTCGGCTGTCGGTCCGCGATTCGCCCGTGACGGGGGTTTTTCTTGCCGAACGCATCAGTATATAAGTCGAGATTAATTAAGCAAACGAATGATTTTCATACAGTCTATTCTAACATCCTAATCGACCAATCAATCCCTGATCTATATTTCTCTATGTCTCCACCAACAGCATTATCAATCGGGTACTCTTGGCCCAATGGCCAAACTGTCGAGAACAACGAAGTCGATTCCTGGGAACTGAAAGCGTCCCGGAGAGCACTTCGAAACTTGAAGAGTCTGTTAGCTGGACAGCCAATGATTGATCTACTCCAGGGTCAGATAGAAGTAGCTGACGATTATTACAAGGACATCATTGAGAAGTCTGAGGGTCAGTACAAAGAGTCCCGCATCGACCTTCAAGCAAAAGGAATTACCTTGGCTCAATTTATGGAGTGGTGGAAGGTTTGGATGGTAGAGTTGCAAAATCCGGAGATTAAGCAACAGGTTTTCTTCGATACCATGGTACCGGCTCATCCAGAGCATTATACCCTTTCTCCATATCAATCAGGAGTTGTCGAAACTATTGGAGAGCATATTGCTCGGGTGGAGATCAAACCCTGCTTCAACCCTCCAGAATTTGTGCTGAAGTACGGTGATCCCACCTATCAACACTTGCCTGCGATAGGAACCTTGGATGACGGTAGCATTTTGTTCTACATCTTACAGGAGATCCGCGATTCTGAAGAGGGTTGCGACTTCCGCTTGCGTCTTCTATTCCCAGCCGCTGCACCTCAAGTGTTCTTTGACGAACATGCTGAGCACCTCGCAGTCGAGTTCAGGAGCTTTATCAGTACGGCTTTTGCGTGGAATCAGAAAAAATCCAGTTCCGGATAATAATTACATGTCATGAGAGAATAAAATGGTACAGTTTCTGCCTTCCGTAGAATAGCCGTGCGTTTATATAATTTATTTATAATGGTTGTATGAACTGATGTGTGGGGCCCACGAACAATCGCATTCTTGGCAAAGAAAAGAAGACAAGAGAAGAGGTTAGAGTTAAAAACTATATCTTTATGTAGTCTGTACTAATAAGGGGGCTTGCAGGTTTTGATAAAAGCACTGATCTGTCTAAATTTATTTCTTCTCCTCTTTCTCCCTCTGTTGTTTCTCACCTTCCTCTCCCTTACTTTTCTTTAGCTATTTCAACCACCACATCATTACGCTCAAGTCAGTCATTCATACACGCCAATACAAGTCTCTCTAGATCCTTTGCCGCAATGTATGTAAACACCAAGTTCCCAATCCTATCCTGCACCGATCGCTGAACAACGCCTGTTTCTCACCTATTCTTATAACTATACCCAACTTTTTATGCTTTCATTGTCGCTACAAACCTTACTAAGACCTCAAGAAGTGCGTAGATGAGAGGATTTCAAGATAAAAATTTGAGTGTTTTGGGTACGTTATATGCTATATGAAACGTTTTTATGATAAAAAACAAGTTTTCTTATGACTTGGTGACAAAATAAAGAGGAATATCATATAAAAGCATCTATCTGTATTATTATCTTTACGGAGCACGCTAACGTTTATTCTTCAAACTTGGTTTGGGGGAGGCTCAAAAGCATGGGGTGTGTTGTGTTCATACGCTCACCTGACTAGGTTCACAAACGATTTGCGTGACAAGGTTGTTGGGCCATGATGGTGCATCCGTGCCGTTTCCTCGAGCCTTGATATGATACCCAGGCTGGGTTGGACCGGAAAACTCAACAGTTGGAGCAACGAGGGTAATCTGGGTGGAGTCGTCCAGCAAGCTCTCGGTCTTGAAAAACGCAGGCTGAAATAGGTGTGGAGAGTGCTTACGGAGAAGGCCGATATACTGGGGTAAGAGCCGCTGCATGTTGTCATAATGCCTGAACGACGGTTTGCCATTGGATTCCCAGAGCTTTTTCCACTGCTCGTCGTCGTAGGTGCCCACTTGATCAACGAGCCACATCGAATAATAGTTCAACGCCAAGTCCACCACATGGGAGCCTCCGTTTTTAGCCTGCTCAGTCAGTGCCTGGATCACCGCAATGGCCCCAGCTGTGCCAGTACAGAAATCGCTATTAGGGAACACCGGTGTAATTGCTTCTCCCTTGGCTCCGAGGGCATCAGCAAAGCTGCAAGACACACCACACACCGCATCGCTGATTTGCTGCCATCCAATCCGCTCATGCCATGGCCCTTGCCACCCATAGCAGTTCTCGCGCACGTAGATAATACCTCGACCACGTCGTCGAGCTAACGCCAACAGATTATCCTTGCCCAGTCCGTATTTTTCCAAGTGATAAGGTCTATATGTATGAGAAAAGTTGGATTAGTAAGGCCACATTACCATATTTCTGTTCTGTTCTCTTCTCTACCCACCCTACCATACCACACTTCAACAACAACTTACCTATAGCCTTCAACAACAACATCGGCTTCTTCCAGTAATTCCAACAGCTTTTGACGATCGTGCTCATTGTGAAAATCTAGCTCACATTGCCACTTGCCCCAGGAGAGGTCCGGATGCAAGGCTGACATGTCGGGCAAGTTTGGGGATGTGACGCGCATTACACTAGCTCCATATTCTGCTAACGAACGGGTCACTGCTGGGGCGGCAATCACCCGCGTCAAATCCAGTACTTTGAGACCAGCTAAAGGTCTTTCAACTGAGCCTTGATCGGCAAGCTTCCACCAAGACGCCGGTGTACCATCGTCCACCCGGTGGGTTTCAAACAACTCGACGTGAGCATTGGACTTGTAATGATCAGTTGCCTTAAAGTCGTCCACCGTATAGCAGATGGTCCCGGCCTGTTTATGTACATCATTCATCATGGTGTCCAAGGCATCAGCATTGTGCTCAGCTACAGCCTGTTGGAATATCGGCAAGGCTTCGTCAAATGAGATAGGATCCTTTGGAGGCTGTTGGGGTATCCCGAGGGCCGATTTGGTGAAACTGCTGTTCATGGATCCGTGAATATGGTAATAACGCCCATCCTTGGTTTTGTAAATATTGGTGGTTAACGAATTCCATGGATAATCGATGCTTTTAAACTTGTCCATGTCTTTAAAATGCTGTGCGGTGATAATCCGATAGTCGGGATGAAATAATGACACAGGCTGCTTGTCGGTGGTTCTTTGGTAGGTTACAACCATGGGTGACATGATGCTGAGCTGAGCATGATCAGTGTCGATAGTCATCATAGGGGCCTCGGTTTTGTACTTTTGGCTGATCAGGGCGGCAAGCGATAATCCCTCATATGCCTTGAGGGCGCTAATAGATTCAGCAAACCGCCAATTGATGGGAATTGAAGGACTGTCAGTGCCTTTAAAGTGGACGTTGGACGCCAGCGCCTTGACGTCATCTGGAGCATTGGTTTTTGGATTGTTCAATATGCCATCAATTAGGACTTGAAACGATGCTTCTGGAACAGAATAGACCATGGGCTCTACTGTTGACACGAATGTACGTACGCACACACAGTGGAAGCGAGAGACATAAGTATGTGTAGAACGGAATCACGCTTGGTATGTGGGTTGCACTTGGGTCATATTTGTGTGAATTCTTACCTGAACAACACGCGAAAAGAAAAAGGTAATGTACGATTCAATCGGTGGGTGATCCGTACCTTTTATAGCGTATGTAAGCCATGTGAAAAAAAGATAGATGAGAAATGAAACCACTGGACGAAGGTTTGCTGCATTATTCTGCCCTACCGCGCCAATCAGGAACGGTTCCACTTGCCCATCTCTCCTTGTTTTTTCTTTCTTGTTTACTGCATATCGTTTGTTTTAGATGAGCAATACTTGCAAGCTGGAATGACTAATGCTAGAATAAGAATAGCGGGTTTTTGGGCAGATCAACCATTCCGAGCACCTTCGGCCGCCGATAATCCATTATCGGGTCATCTCTAATCCGACGCTAGTCCATAATTTGCTGTAAATGTCGAGCTATTTGTAAAGAGTCACTTATTTGGTTTTTCAATGTAAGCGCTCCAATCTTGTTTTGCCTTGACCTACCATGCCAGTGACTGATTTTTCACAGTGGTTTTCTGATATTTCCACCAATAGCTATCTGACTGGACAATGGTGTCATGATCGCAGTTGAAGAAACAAACAAACGATGTGTTGTGAGTACTGTCGCAGCTCTTGTCTTACAAACTTTACACCGTTATTGTCCTTTCTTTTAAATCCTTGTAGAGCTTTAATCATGTCATCAATTTGAAAGTAAAAAGGTGCACAACTCGAGGTGAAGTGCCATTGATCCAGTTCAAGAAACATAATGCCCCATGTCTTGCGAAGTCAAACGGAGGCTGTATGTACCTGATAAGTGATCTCTTCCAAGCTGAGATCATTGCAGATATCCTTGTACATGAACAACTCATATAGAAACGGTCAAATCTAGCTTGTCATGTCTTGGTTCTCTGTTGCATATTGTGGCGGTTAAGCTATATAGTAGTGGTTGCACCAATCTTAACCGCTGCTGGTGATACGGAATTTTACGATGGTTCAAGGGCCCAGGAGCTTTGGTGCATAGTAGTCATGACGATAAATGGTAACCAACAAAGGCGAGGTGAAGAAAACAGGAACAATAGGGAGGCTTAAATATTTCAGAGAGATTTTGGGGGAGGTGTTATTTTTCAGGGACCCATAGATTTCAATACGTATACCCTGGATCAAAAAAGCCCAATAGATACAAATGGAGAACGTTATTTTGAAACCGTTATGCTGGAGACGAGGATAGCATTAGACTTGGAGAAAAGGATTATGTGCAAGGCAGTGACAGCGCGATGTGGTAAAAGGCGGGCTTAACAGGCATGAGATATATCGTAGAAATTCAGTTACTACGGCGGTGGTAAGTTCATTTATGTCGTTCTTGTGAAAAGGTCAGGGTATTGAAAATTGGCAAAACGTTGTTGCCTGTTGTAATGGACACAATCCCTTCAACAGATTCCTCGTTAATGCACAAAGATGCTGACGAGTCGATTCAGCATAAGATGTGATTCTGTCTTAAAGTTCGATTGAGAGAGATATTGGGCTTATTTTCGATATATAGCTACATTTCTCGAATTCAGACTATCAAATGACGCTGATACTTATTTAAGACATTTCGTGCCAATGAAGGAATGATGATGGAATTTCGAATCCGGGTGAGGGTAGTCAACTTGCATATTCAGGCACCAAGCAAAATTTATAAGTTACGTCAAAAAAAATAGCATGTGTCAAAAGGTGTCAAAAAGTGGATGCTATTTCTCGCAAAACCGTATAGCAACGATCATCTAGGTGAATTTGGAGAACCATACTACATATGTTTCTTCCTTTAGCGACGGCTCTTATTTCGGGATTAACACTGAGGAACTGCTTATCGCCTTACGGGATTTTGAGTGCCGTGACCGTACTGCATTTTTTCTTTTTTAAGAGGCAGGTGAAGAAACTGACTGCATGAACTCAATTATCGTATGGTAAAACGATGAAAACGCTGATCGATAATTGATACATATGGCGCAAGTTTTATACGTCAAGATTTACGTTCAGAATGCTCAAAATTGAATGCAGTATCACACTACCATCTAAAATATATTCAAAAGCTTTGCTGATTCACATGTAACCACATGAAATGATAGCAATTTTTATTATGTACGCTAATGATTTGAATACACTCTCGTCAATATAGCAACAGATAAGAATCTGGACATCTAAATCAAATGTGGATGAAGTACTGAAAATGAGTAATTGAAAACAGTACGAAGACGAAGACCTCAACGTTGATGGAATTAATAGATTCAACGAAACATTGGATGATTGGATGTTGGTTTCGCCCCCTTTTTTCTTTAGAAATCTTACCTCCATCATCATAAGGCCACATGATTCTCCTTCCACACGGCGTACTTTCGATAGACATCACGGCTGAAGGTCTTCTTCAGCTCGTCCACCGTATCGTGATCAGCGGGAAGTGCAATTTGGACAGCACCGACGCCGCAAAGGTTGTTCTTGCGATCGATGAACCAGACGAGCGACATACCACCGCCCCAGGTTAGTGTATGCTCGCCGTACCAGTCATCGACATCCTGAAGCATAAGCAACCCGCCTAGACCATGGCCAGCTTTCATTTCGGGATCGATCCCCACACGAAAGTGGGCACCCATGGGGCTGGTCATAGCAGCCTTATGGGCCTCGGTCGCCTTTGGGCTTAGGTGATGCTGGAACATAGTATCAACTGTAGTGGGTTTAAGGAGTTTACTGTCGCCGGCCAGCAGCGAGTGCAGAATCTTGATGTAGTCAGCGCCTGGCAGAAATAAGCCATGACCACCAAAGTTTCCACGGGTTGGCTTGTTCATGTCGTCACCGCCGCCGCCAAACACGGCACGGCCCAGGGCTTCAGGGTCCTTTGGATTGAGGTCGACGAGGCGTGCGCGCAGGTCATCTCGCGTAACCGGGTAAAACTCGGCGTCAGAAATGCCGAGTGGATCGAAGATGCGCTGCTGCATGAACTGGCTAAGCGTGCGACCTGTCACCCGCTCTACCACAAGGCCAGCCCAGTCGAGCCCTGTGCCATACATCCAGCCATCACCAGGTTGAAAAGCGAGTGGATAGCTGAACAGCTCCTCAACCGATCGGCGGTCGTCTTCTTGGAGAGGGGCGGCGAACTTCTCGCGCCATCGGACGACATGAGGATTCAGAAAGAAATAAGTGACGCCAGAGCTGTGCGTAAGCAACATCTCGAGCGTAATGGAGCGGACTACCTGCTCCAGCAAAGGAGTTTCGTTGTCGTCAGAAAAGCCGGTGATGACCTGCTTTGAAGTGAGTTCGGGTACGATGGACGAAAGGTCACCGGTCAAGGTTAGTAGGCCGTCCTCTATGCACTGCAAGACAGCAATAGTGGTGATTAACTTGGTAGCTGAAGCCAAGAACAGCACGTCGTTCAGCTTCTGTGGCCGCTTCTCGCCAGACAGTAGCGTGCGCTCGCCCATCGCTTTTTCGTAAACAAAACGACCCTCGGCGTCGGTGGCACAAATAACAGCTCCGTTGATCTTGCCAGCGTCAATGGCGGCCTGGAAACTACTTTCTATAGAATCGGCCATGGTGGTTGCAAACGATCCGTTCAATTTCTGCCGAAGAACAAAGTTACTTTCCAGTTACAATTTTCCCATACTGCGGTTTATATATCATTTATTTTGTCAACTAGTACCAGGATTGGCCGAGAAATTGCTGGGTTAGGTTTTACACCATGTGTCGAATTTGGCAACAGTTTCAAACCAGACTGTAGTCGTCCATATGGGTTGAAAATTCAATAACGTTATATGAGCTTATAATACGTTTATCTAACTTCCCGTGCTCTTTTAAAGTGCTGCATGCATAATCAATGAAGTAAGAATAAAAACCTGCTGTTTTCTATGGTTATATATAAGTCTAAGATCTGGCATAGTTGCGGTAGAATATAGAGTCATACTCCAATTGCTCATCGAAGTATTGAACCAATTACGTATTGCATTTGTTTTCCGCTTTGCAATGAGAATACCAGCCGACCACTCTTTCTAAATGTTTACCATCAATTTGATATACCAAATCGCAAAGCTTCATACCATAAAATATATGCAAAAGAAAAATAAATGCCATGTTTATGTATATGCATGTTTCAAAGCAGCAAGAGCTAATTTTTACTCTTGTGTGCAGATACACCGTCAATATGCTATTCGCAATATCAAAGGGGTTGGTACAAGTACTTGGCGAAATTTTGCACAGCAGTCCAGGCTTGCTTTGAAAAACATGTGCAGTTCGTCATAGTCATCCAAAATGCAAGCGTATCCCTAATGGTGCACGATAAGTCGTATGACTCGACTTAAGTGACTATGGTAAGCCATCCGCTCGACGATTTGAAAAAAAAAAGATATCCTCATGGTGTTCAACAATTTGACTCGACGTTATAAAGAGTTCTGGCTACACTGATCTTTTATCGAAGCAGATCTAAGATGCCCTATGCAATCGGCAAAGTCGTGTCAAATATTTTTGAACATTAGCCTTGGTGGCTTTATTAAACTTGCTTTCAAGATATCCAGCTTCAAAAGTGGATGAACACATAGATACTTTGCATACAGCAATTAAATTAAATCAGTTCCTAAATTTTGCACCTGCTTTCGTGGAGATGAGAATTGACGTCAAATTAAAACAGAGAATCGATTATATTCTAAGAGGTTATGGGGAGGAATTGTCCATTGGAGGCCAAAAGTTTAGTATGTCAGCAGCGGGCCAAAGGCAAACAGACGAATGGTCGACGCCGTTGAAGGTTAATATCTTGGGGACGAGGGTAGTAGTAGAATTTGGAGAAGCATATCATCGTGCAGATGGTTGCAGCATGTCATGATAGAGGGTGTGTGAAAAGGATGGAAGAGGGAATAATGAAGGCTTAAAATTTAAAAGCAAAAAGGGGAATGGTTACAATGGATTGTGGTACGCCATAAAGAAAAGGTGGGTTGAATAGGCGCTAAAGATATGTCGTCAATATTTAGTATCCACAGCGGTGAATATCCATTTAAATTGTTCTTTTGAAAAACTCAAGGTGATGAGCAATAATAAAAGATGGTTGTCTATTGCAATGGGCACAATCCCTTCAGCAGATTACTCGCGAATGCGCAAGATGTCGTCGACAAGTGGGTTCGGTAAAATGTGTGGTGTTTCAAAAAAAGTTCGACTGAGAGAGATATTTTGCTAATTTACATTATTTAGCCATTGTTCTCGATTTTAAACTATCATAGAAGACACTGGGACTTGTTTCAAACGAATCGCGACTGTCAAAGGAATGGCAATGGAAACCTCAAATCTGGTTTGGAAATGAGTTTGTCAAGTTACATATTCAGGTACCAAGATGTACGACTTCGTTTTATTTTGAGCAAATCATAAGAGGCAACCACTAGTCCGGCGCTGAGTCGCCTCAGACTTGTATAAAGAGATGCCATTTTCTAATACTGAACAGTATGGCTGTTATAGAAAGAGTCAGAGAAATTGCCAAGGCCTTTGAACAAAATAGCCAGAAAGCCGTCTGTAATCTTCTGATTCAGTGTGGGTGCGATTCTTAGTATTGAGTGTTATTATGGAATAAGTATCAGAGAACTTCTGCAAGTTCTAGAAATTTAGTCAGTTGCAATAGAACGTCAAGGGATGCCTATTTTAAGTATACGTGCTCTGATATATTTGGGCATAGGTACTGCTCATAGTGAGCGTCTTAAGGCATGGTTGGCATTGTTGAAATTAGGTCAAGTAACTTGACAGCAAACTTGATTTCTTTTCTCTTTTATATTTTTGAAGAGGTTGATGGGAAACTGGCTTCAACTCTGTTGTCGTATGGAAACATTGGTAAAACGGTAGAGTAGGATCGGATGTTCAGTCACCAGAGCAGAACTGCATCATTATCTGGTTATTTTTGTAAGTCATAGTCTTTATATGAGCCACCGGGAATAACATCAATCGTCTATTATACCACTACTCCCGCCAATAAATTGAAACAAATAAGATCAGAAATATATCTTAGACGGAAGGTGAATTGAGTACTAAAAATAAGTAACGATATGTAACAGTATGAGGAGCGAAGCGTTGGCGCAGCAACTGACCAAACGGTACGGATGATTGCCTGCAAGTTTTTTTTTGTCCTCTACTTTCTTACCATCATACAGCCTGCTTCTGCTCCTTCCACGCGGCGTGCTTTCGGTAGATATCACGACGAAAGACCTGCTTTAGCTTTGCTACGGTGTCACCATCGGTTGGGAGTGTAGCCTGAACAGCACCGATACCGCATAGACCATTCTTACGATCGATGAACCAAGCGAACGTCAGGCCGCCGCCCCAGGTCAGTGTTCGCTCGCCGTACCAACCATCGACATCCTGAAGCGTCAGCAAACCGCCTAGGCCGTGGCCAGCCTTCGTTTGAGGATCGGTGCCAACACGGAAGAAGACCCCCATGAGACCGGCCAACGCGGTCTGATGGGCCACGGTCGACTCTGGACTAAGATGGTGTTGAAACATGTCTTCTACGGTGGCTGGTTTCAGGAGCTTCCCATCGCTGGCCAGTATTGAGTGCAGAATCTTTATGTAGTCGGCTCCTGGCAGATATAAACCATGACCACCAAAGTCTCCGCGGCAGACTTTGTTCATGTCACCTTCTCCACCAAGCACAGCACGACCCAGAGCTTCAGGATCGTTTGGATTAAGGTCGACAAGGCGGGCGCGAAGGTCTTCGCGCGTAACTGGATAGAACTGACCGTCGGAAATGCCGAGTGGATCAAAGATGCGCTGCTGCATAAATTGGCCTAGTGTGCGACCAGACACCCGCTCTACCACGAGGCCAGCCCAGTCGAGCCCAGGACCGTACATCCAGCTAGTCCCGGGTTGAAATGCGAGCGGGTAGTTGAACAGCTCCTCGACCGATCGGAAATCGCCTTCTTGGGGAGGAGTGCCGAACTTCTCGCGCCACCTGGCGACATGAGGGTTCGTAAAATGATATGTGACACCTGAGCTGTGCGTAAGAAGCATCTCGAGCGTGATAGGACGGACTACTGGCTCCAGCAAAGGAGTTTTGCCGTCATCAGAAAAGCCAGTGATGACTTGCTTGGAAGTGAGTTCGGGTACGATGGACGACAGGTCACTGGTTAGGGTCAGTAGGCCGTCCTCTACGCACTGCAGAGCCGCGATGGTAGTGATCAACTTGGTCGCTGAGGCCAGATACAGTACGTCGTCAAGTCTTTGCGGCTGCTTTTCACCAGAAAGCAGAGTGCGCTCACCGAGTGCCTTTTCGTAGACAAAGCCACCTTCGGCATCAGTGGCACAAATAACAGCTCCATTGATCTTGCCCGCGTCGATGGCAGCCTGGAAAGTAGTCTCCATGTTTTCGACCATGGTGATTGAAAATTTTTTTAATTGAATAAATTGGGAGAGAAAGAAGAAAGGGTTGCGTTTTATGTGTTTCCAGTTTCCACGGCAGTTTATGACACGGTACGGATGGGGTTAGCGAAAGTGATCCGAAAGGTTCAGAAAATTGCTGGGTTAGGGTTTACCCCCGCGCTTAGGATTTGGTATGGGTCATAAGTCAAATCCGTGTTACCCCGCCTTTTGTTAACATGAAAGAACATTATACTTCTATCCAAGGGCAAATATACAATCTGAGCAAATCTATGCTGACTCTTACTTTATTGCCGAAATGTTTTCACCTTCTCTCATAAATCATAATCGGCTTCATGTCTGATAATGAGAGTGTCAAATTTATGAATGAGATGATGTTTATTGAACTGCGAAAATTACAAAATCAAGGTAGGGAATTTAGAGCAAGTATGAGGGTATACGCAAATGTTTATATCTAGCTAATGTAACAAAGGATGAAATACATTAATGACTGTGTGAGTGAGGATGCAAGCAATGATCTTGAGTACGTTCATCTCAAAGCAACAAGAATTTTTTCAGCTCTGGTGTGCTGACACACTGCCGATATGTTGTATCAGCCAACGTCGGAGGGTTCGTCACAAGCACTTGGCGAAATTTTGCACAGCAGTCCAGGCTTGCTTTGAAAAACATGTGCAGTCCTTCATAGTCATCCAAAAAGGCAAGCATATCCCTAATGGTGCACGGTAACTCGTACGAGCCGACTTGAGTGACTAGGGTAAAGCCATCCGCTTTGCGTTTCGAAACAAAGAGATCTACATGGTGGTCAACGATTTGATTCAATGTTACAAAGAGGTCTGGATTCACTGATCTTCTTCGAAGCAGATCCAAACTGTCCTTCGCAAATCGACAAAGTCGCATCAAATCTTTTGCAACATTAGCCTTGGTGGCGTTGTTGAACTTGTTCTCCATATATCCAGCTTCAAAAGTGGCGTGTCCATGAACGGCTTGAATGATACCATCTGGCTGCCGTGCTTGGTATTTTCCGTTGATGCGAGCTGCTGAAGCGGTGGAAGAGCTGTTGCCAAAAACAACTGGAAACCTATCTGGATCACCATACATGCTCAACATGAAAGGGTATAGGTGTGCTGTGGTACACTGTGTCTCTGTTTCACTTTTACGACCGACATGCGATACCTTACGAAAAGGGTGATGACCAATTCTTGTTGCATCAAGTGAATTAGAATGCGCGCTTCATTTTATGTAACATCCACAAAAGCGAACTTACATATAGCGTGTCAGTTCCTTTAAACGACTCAATTCCTTCATTTCAGTAGCATCGATTGCCTTCAAACCTAAAGTACGGTTATTTTCTTTAAGAGTCATCTACAAAAGATGTCAGTTTCAAATCTATAATGAAAGCTTAGCGAAACCCGCCTTTAGACTCACCTTCAAGATATTCCGAAGCGATTCCAGATCAAATTTTTCATCCTCATTCATTTCCGTCTGCATTGCGCTTAATTGTTCAAGTTTGATAGCTTCTCTGAGCTGCAATTGGTCTGAGCTGTCATCAAATACCGTGCTTTGATCCCTGAGTAAAATGATGGAAGACAGTGATAGTATCCTTTCCATATTCTCATTAATTGCAGTCTTTTGGCGTAAGTATCTGAGACTCGCATTTTGGTACTCGTATATAGACTCCAAGACGTCCTCGCCATTCAGAATCCATTCTTCTTCACTTTCACGCTTAAATTCGAAGCCAAAATCGGTAGGAACAGAGATAAGTGGGTCGTCATCATCATCAAAAGGATTCTCCTCTAGACTGGTCGTAAACTCCTCAAGCAAGTTTCGATGCCGCCGGGTTGATTCACCTCCTGTTGGCGACTCATAGCCTTTTCTTTTTTTTAAGCGCACATCTATCAAGATATAACTCAATCATTAGTATACATGTCCTAATCAACATAATTACATGGTCCAACAAAGTCTTGCCTGATGCTTGATCCAATCCATCTGATATCGAGGGAGATTGTAAAGCTTCATTGTTTCGCCTAGAAGACTGTTTGACTTGCGCAGATTCTAACTTTATTTCATCAGTAAGGATGTTGGCAATGTCAACTATCAGCGTAACGTAGCGTAGTTACCTGCCAAAGTCAGTTCCGTATGCAATGCCTCCACGTGAGTTGAAAGGGTGTCCCGGGATTCAAAGCTTTTATAGCATCCTGAGCAGCCATATCTTCTAGGGAACTTGCAGAGACAGGATTATTGAAGGTTCAAACTGGTAAATATGTTGCTCGCCTGTACCTTGTTTTCCGAATCGGCTTCGCTAGAAATGAATTGCCAGTCTCTAGAAGTCTGTGTTAGTCACTCTACATTCAATCAACGGCAGTTTTACTGTGCGTAATATAACTTACGGATCCTGAGGTGGCTTTCCTCGCTGACGCGTGACATTCTGAAGAGAGATGTCTGAGATTGGCAGTAAGCGTTACTGTGCCATGTTCGTGATTTTTTACAAATAATACATACCATGAACCGCTTCCAAATGTTCACGAACTTTTATCGGCGTTGGACATAACTTTCTGCAATATGAAAAGTGGCAGTTATAGATGATAACCGCTTTTGCTTTCGACATTAAGAATGCAGTGCTCGGTACGCTGTA